GTGTGGTGTGAGGGAAGGAGGGACGCGGGAGGAGCGATGGACGAGAGTGGAGAGAGTGAAAGGGATGTGGAGAGATAAGAGGGGATTGTCACGGAACAGACGAGAGGGTGCGGCCAAGAAAGACGGTTGGCGTCGAATAAACGAGATCATGCGAGTGAAGTTCAGTGAGACGAAAGAGAGCAGCGAAACCGTATGCAGTGAAATCGATCTAATGTTCGAGATCGGGAAAAAGGGATGAACTAGAGAGGCGGATAGAAGTGCGAGAAGGCTCACATTGTCTCCTTTCCATTTTTGATACACCCGAGCCATGTGGAACCGCCGCGACGTCGGTAGTTGATACTAAACGCGATATGGTCACTCATCGCGCATCAGGCATAGCCGTCTGATTCTAAGAGAGGGCATATGGAGTCCTGGGAGGCGTCGCAAGGGCGGCATGAGCGACCAATTCAGATAAAGCTCTGTCTTTTAAATTACTCTGCTTGCTACTAACTCCACGGAAAACATGAAAAGGAAGCTACAATCGTTGATTCAGCGTCAGATTGTTGAAGGAAAAGTGGCCAGTCAGTCTAGAATATAGTGACGTGTTAGCAGCTGTGTGCAATTGCAGATGATCGAACATAAATCGATTGATGGTTAGCGAACAAGGTAGACACGAAGAGTAATTGGCGATCGATCAAACTATCAGCAGCCTATTGCAGTTAGAAGCCCAGTACAAATGTCTGGACACCACTAGAACTACTTCCTACTCGAAGTAAAGCCTAATGCCTTGTGGAAAAGCGACTTGAACACGTGAAGCACCGAACAACACAAAACAGGACGCCAAAATGTAGAATGAAGCCCGAGGCTAGTCCCTAGAAATTGCCCTCTCGTAAGTCGAGGAGATGGAGTTGGAGCGCATACCACCGCTTTATATCGCACAGAAAAGCGCCGAACCAGTCTGTTGCGTCGCGAAGTTCCAGTTTCATGCCGTCTGAACATTACCAACCCACCAAACCTGCCCTCCCGAGTCAGTTTCTCTGAGCACGCTGCCATGCTAGTGAAGTCACCTGGCCACTACTAGACCACAGACGACGGCGCCAAGCCTACAACGAGCCGACCACGCTGCCTCGACAAGTCAGTACCCATACTGTATCTGGGAGCACGACATTGACGAGGAAAAAGTGCTGGGGAATTGACGGACGGGAGCACAGGTTTGGAGGTTTGGTCTGTTGGCTTCAGCGGAGGTTTGGATGCACAAACCCGCACATCGTGTGAGTTGTGTGCTTTGCATGTACTGTAGCTGTACAATTTTCACACTAAAAGACGACGTTTTGCTGCTTTGAAAGACCCCATCGAAACTAATGGACTAAGCCAAGAGACGCTAAGTTTGAGAAGGAATGCTTTTCAACACAGCGGTCGAAAGTGCCCCCACCGGCTACTTCCAATCGGTACTTGTTCCAAGAATCTTTCAGGCCCAAGACTCGTATACGTTTCTTATGCAGGAAAAATTCCTCCGAAAAGCATCTACCTCAACAGTGGGAGGTGCCTGAAGCGGCCCAAATTCCCTGACAGCATTTGCTGAGGGACTCAAGCCTTCACGGCTGAAGCTAGGGTTTGGTGGTCACTAAAACTGGCAATCGGATCCATGCCAGTGCGTGTCGCCCAACCTCATTGCTTAGGCGGCGAGAAAGCAGCTTTCAAATCTCTAGTTTTAGCAATTAGCGGCTCGACCGCTGGTGGTCCCGATTTTCAGCGAATCAGATGGCGTTTCTTCCTGTTTTTGTTCCCAACGGTTCTGGCTCACTTTGGCGCCAGTGACGCTCGTTGTTTTGTTTCCGAATATCCGCAACGATTCAGGCCTGTTGATCTACTTTTGCGGCTCGGTTCTTACCCCATTCTCTCCCCAGCCAGCGTCAACCATCCCTCCCTACGTTCGCCCGTCACCTTCCCATTTTCCAACCGGCATGCCTCATTCTCGCCTCCGCATATTCGCCCTCTCGTCCGCATTCACTATCCATGTTCCAATTTCAGCCGTGAGCCCACATTGAGACACCAGTTTCCGTTATTCAGTCTCCACATTCAGGCTTCGGACCGTTCAGTATTAGAACAACTTGGAACATCACGGAGCACTCTAGAGCACTGCTGATTTTTTCAACGTGACGCGACCGCGAGGAGTCGTATGGCCGCCCAGCCGATTGCTTCGACGCAGCGAATGTTCGCGAGACAAAGAACATATCCGTAAGTGTTCCTATTTCTATTTCATTTTCGAAACCATTCAAGTTTCTATTGTCGCGATTCGTTCTTTTTACGCATCTGGATAAAAATATGACTTTTTGTTTGATCCGTGCAGGTCGGAACAGAACACGAAGAACGACTGAGATCGACATTGGCTCTGAAGAGTGAAATTTCCCCTAAACTCAAATGCTGGATCTGCACCGACGAGCTTCAAAGGTAAGAGGCGGGATCTTCCCGTTCAATTTTGCGTTTCGTTTTGTTTCTGTTCTATGGACGCTCGCTAACGCAGTTTCTTCCATGTCATCGCGTGCAGGTTCTCCTAACATTTGCGCATTAGACAAGCCAATATCGGCGCCGAATCGATATCCTTCGTCTTGTTATCAACGCGCGTGTGCTTCGAGTCAAGCGCGTCGGCGTTAAGTCAACGCGCGTCTCTCCGCTTTCGCTCAACGCGCCCGCTGCCGCCTCCAGTCAACGCCTGCTGCCACAAGTCAACTCTTCTGCTGTTGACTCGAGTCAACGTCCTGCAGCCTTCATCGAGATGAGTATTCGTATCCCCTTTCTTTTCGTATGATTTCGTATCATTATTTTCGCTATAGCTGCCTGTAGCACACCCGAGTCCCGCCCTTTTTCTTTTGAGGTTCAGACTATAAGGTATCCCCCTTGGTACGGGCGAAATTTTCTACCCCTGGTACGGTACGGTAAAGGTCCCCGTTTCCCCTTGGGTGTGCTGCAGCAGCTGTATCTTCCCTCCCAAATCCGCTACACGAAGATCCGTTTCTTACATGTGACTGGACTGCGCATCTCCTACACGTTTCATCAACCCCCCCTTCCTCCTCCCCCCTCTCCTCCGCGCCTCTCCCTCCTCCCTGTCCATCAGGTCACCTGCTGCCCGCAAGGACCTTCGCTGCGAATTTCGCGTTTGAGGCGCATCACGGAGAGCGGTTGTGGGGACGCGGGTCGAAGGCAGCAGCGGGTCGTCGTGGGCTGCACGGCGCGTCTCACACCGCATCGCGGGCCAACAGATGAGTATCGCTCGGCCGTTTCTGCTTTCCGTTTCACTGCCTCGCCTCTCTAGCTGCCTGTAGCACACCCAAGTTTCTCCCCCCTCTTTTTTTTTGGTAAAGGTTCGGACTGTCAGGTATTCCCCTTGGTAGGTATTCCCCCTGGTACGGTAAGGTAAAGGTCCCCCACTCCGCTTGGGTGTTCTACAGCAGCTATACCTTCCTCTTATGTTCGGTTCTGGGCTAAACTTCATGTGACTCGAAGGAAGTCTTGCCGCTTGTTCTTGATCGTAGTCCTTCCCTCCCTCCCCCCCCTTCGCTCCGCCACCCCCTTTCCCCGCGTTGACTCTCAGTGCTCTGCGCGCGTCAACGATCATCGCTTTGTCTGGCTAACGTGGGTCACGGAGGCAGCAGCGGAGGCAGCAGCGGAGGCAGCAGCGGAGGCAGCAGCGGGACTTGATGGGCTCCCTCGCAATGATTCTTGGAAGAAACAGATGAGTATCGTTTCACCACTCACCCCGCCTTCGCCTTTGTCCGTTTCGCCACATGTCGTTTCGATTGCTTCCTGATTTGCTGCCTCTTCGTTTTAGCCGTCTGTAGCACACCCAAGTCCCTCCTTTTAAGGTTCAGGTTATGAGGTAAGTAACCCCCTTGGTACGGTAAGGTGAAGGTCCCCCGCTCCACTTGGGTGTGCTACGGAGGCTACTCCTTTCCTTTTCTAGTCGCATCGGGACGAGAGTGCACATGGCTCGACAGCGCTCCTGTCGCTGCCTCTCGTTTCTAATCCCACCCCATCGCCCCCCCCCCCCACCCCCCCTCCGCTCGCCCTCCTTTGCTCCAGGGGACGCTTCTCGCCTCTCCGCTTTCAACTGGCTACAAGGCGCGCGTCAACGCCCTGCGGACTCGAGTCAACGCCCTGCTCCCGCGAGTCAACGCCCTGTTCTCGCGAGTCAACGCCCTGCTGTCGCGCGTCAACGCCCTGCTGCTGCCTCGAGACAGATAAGTACCCCTGCTCCATGCTCGCGACCTTGTCATTTGACTCCTCTGATTCCGATCAGCCATGCATATGCTGCGCTTCGCTCTGGCTGCTTGTGGCACACTCAAGGCCCCCCTTTTGTTCAAGGTTCGGACTATCAGGTACGCCCTCCAGGTAGGTACAGAACTTTTACCCTTGGTACGGTGTGGTAAGGTAGAGGTACCCCCCTCACTCCACCCTTTTTGAGTGTGCGACAGCAGCTTTACTTCCATCCCGCTCAGCTACACGACGCCTCACTGCCCGCATGAGAGTTCCCTTCACGCTCGGACTTGCTTCTCATCACAAATCCTCCCCTTCCCCCCCTCTCCCCTCCATCACGCCTCCCTATCCCTCAGCCTTTGCTGCTCACGGCAAGGAGCATCTCTCGTCGCGAGTCAACGCCCTGCTGCCACGAGTCAACGCCCTGCTGCCACGAGTCAACGCCCTGCTGCCACGAGTCAACGCCCTGCTGCTGCCTCAAGAGAGATAAGTACCCCCGCTCCATGCCCTCGACCCATTTCCCCCCTTGTCATTCGCCTGCTATGATTTCGATCAGTCATTTCGCATGCGCTTTTCTCGTCGCTCTAGCTGCTTGTGGCACACTCAAGGCCCCCCTTTTGTTCAAGGTTCGGACTATCAGGTGCGCCTTCCAGGTAGGTACAGAACTTCTACCCTTGGTACGGTAAGGTACGGTAAAGGTACCCCCCTCACTCCACCCTCCTTGAGTGTGCGACAGCAGCTGTGCTTCCATCCCGCTCTGCTACACGATGGCTTGTTGCCTGCCTAGATGTGAGTCCACTGCCCTGCACTCTTCTTCCGCGGACTTCCTTCTCATTACATCCTCCCCTCTCCAACAACCCCCCCCCACCCCCACCCGCGCCTCCCTATCCCTCAGTGGCGTTGCTCGCGGCGAGAAGCATTCCTCTGGGGAGCATCGCGTGGAGGCGATGGGAGCATCGCGTGGAGGCGATGGGAGCAAGGGGAGCTGCTGTGGGGACGTGTGGCGGAGCGGAGGCAGCAGCGGGTCGTCGTGGGCCTCTTTCCCTCCCAGCCAGCCAGGCGCCAGCACTCAGCGTCCAACAGATGAGTATCGTTCTGGCAGCCTTCTCCCCTCTGTTGTTACCGGCCTCGTTGCGCGTGCTTCCGTTTTCACTGCCTCGTCGCTCCCCCTGCCTGTAGCACACCCAAGACCTTTTTCCTTTAAGGTTACGACTGTCAGGTGTTCCCCTTGGTACTCCCCTTGGTACCCCCTCCTGGTACTCCCCTTGGTTGGTACAACACTTGTCACCCTTGGCTGGTAAGATGAAGGTCCCCTCCCCTCTTCTTGGGTGTGCTACAGCTGGCTTGCTTGCATCCGTTTTCACGTCTGACTAGACACACCACTCGCTCGCACTTCATTCTAATCTTTCCCACCATCCTCCCCCCCTCCCCCCCCCCCCCCCTCCCCGCCCCCCCTTCCCTCTCCTCCCGCCCTCTCCCTCTCGACCATCTCAGGGCCCTGCGTGCGTGAAGGACGCTTTGCCTGGCGAACGCTTCTCAAGGGACGTGGGACACAGAGGGAGCAGCCGAGGGAGCAGCCGAGGGATCAGCCGAGGGATCAGCTGGACTTCTTGAACTTCCCATCACTCAACCATCACAGACTGACCAAGAGATAAGTACCGCTTCACCAGCCTCTCTCCCTCTGCCTCATTTTCCCGCTTGTTGTGTTGCATGCATGTCTTGTCTTCCTTGCTGTCCTCGTCACTCCAGCTGTCTGTGGCACACCCAAGCCCCCCTTCCTTTTTTTTAAGGTCCCTTGGTATGATGTTGAGGTTCAGGTCCCCCGCTCTCCCTTGGGTGTGCTACAGCTGGCTAGATCGTGCATGGCATGCTGTCCCTCCCCTCTCGTCTGCACTTGTCTGCATCTGTTCTCTCCACTCACTCACTCACTCACTCCCGCCATCCCTCCTTCCCCTCTTCTTTGCTGTCCCCCAGGGCACCAGGCGGAGCAGAGGCATGCGGGGGGAGGAGCGCTGCTGCTGCACTCAGCTCCGCTGCACCTCGGCTCAACGCAGTTAAGTACACAACCTGGCCCTTCTCTTTCAGCCTTCTGTTGTTTGAGTTTTTGCTAATTGTGTCCTTGCTTTCAGCATTGCTGCACTTTCTCCTTTCATCTCTGTTGCATTCAAATCTTTGACTGCTCCCAATCGTCAGCCACTAACTGCCTTTTGCACCCCCCTCCTCGCCCCAGCAGTTTCATCTGCTGTGGTGGACGCTGCTGGTGGCTGGTGGAGGGTGCTGAGTGCCCCTGATGGTGGTGGTGGTGGTGGTGGCGGCGGCGGCGGTGGTGGTGGTGGTGGTGGTGGTGGTGGTGGTGGTGGTGGTGGTGGTGGTGGTGGTGGTGGTGGTGGTGGTGGTGGTGGTGGTGGTGGTGGTGGTGGTGGTGGTGGTGGTGGTGGTGGTGGTGGTGGTGGTGGTGGTGGTGGCAAGTGGTGGTTGGTGGTGGTGGTGGTGGTGGGTGGAGAGTGGTGGTTGGGTGGGGCCTTGGGACTGGATGCCAATAGCCGCACGTTGAAGGCATAATGGACGATCACCAGACCCTGCGGCCGGGGGTCTGGTGTGGCTCCCCTCTTGCCACGTCGGTGAGGGTTCAGCTCTCGGGGTCGCTCCTCAGCCCCACTCTGGTGTGGTGGTGGAGAGTGGTGGACGGAGGTGGAGAGTGGTGGTGGTGGGGTGGAGGGAGGGTGAGCCCACTTGAGTGAGGGGAGGGCAAGGCAGGGGAGGGATGTTGAACCTCCCAGGGCAAGGCTTGTGAGGGGGGGGGAGAGGGACGGGGGTTGAAGTCCCTGAGTTTAAGACAAGTTTGGGTCAGAGGAACCTCCCTCCTCTGGCCTTTGCTTGTCTTAAATTCAGGGGTTACAATCCCCCTCTCTTGCTTCTCACTCGCCTTGCTCTGGGGGGTTCTGCTTCCTTCCTCTGCCTTGTCCTCACCTTACTCAGGTGGTTTCAACCTTCCTTCACTGCTACTGTTGGTGCTCACCTAGAAGTGGTGCTGGTGGTGGGAAGTTTTGGAGATGAGGAAGTGGCTGGGAAAGGGGTGTGCTCTAGGAGCGAGGAGTTGTTGGTGCCAGAGCTGCCAAGGAGTGGTGTAAATTTTATGGCCCTTGTTGTAGTTTTTAACCGCATGCGTACCACAAGTCTGATAACACTTCTGCTAGTGGATGTTTTAGCCTACTGATTGAGAAAGCTTGCTTTCTTATTCTTATCAATTGGCATCGTTCTCATTACAAATGGCTTATTACAACATTTGCATCAACGTTCAACACAAGCTAGTGCAATCGAGTAACACTAGCTAAGATGTACCCTATCCAAGTGGCATTAGCAAGGCGGTTTGCTCTGGGGTGGGTGGTGGGAATGTTGAGTGAGCCGTTGGAAAATCGAGAAACGTGGGTGGAGGGAAATGAACTCCAACCCACGGTTTTTGTAGTTGGAGAAGGGCGTTTAGCGCGCTTCGACGATGCCAATTGTGCAGTACAAGCAGCTTCGCTTTCATAATACACAATTTTAAAAAACACAATGTGTGTTTAAAAATTATAATATTGAAAAAGCTTGCTTTCTTGTTCTTATCAATTGGCATCGTTCTCATTACAAATGGGGTCTCTGAGACATGGGCAGCGGGGGCCTCCGGTTGCGTACGAGTGCCTCTGAGTGTTGTGCCGATGACGCTGCATGCGTCAGGTCTTGTAGGTTACGGGAGGCTTCGATAAGAGGCTCGACGTATGGTGTAACATACATTTCCTTTGCTGAGTCGCTTCGCCATCTGCCCAGCCGTTTGAAGACCCTGTTTGGCACGCCCGTGTTGGCTGCTACTGTGGCTGCACCCTTTCGGAAAGAATGTGTGCCGAGCTGCAGGTCTCCAAGGCCCACCTTTGCGAAGGCTTCCTTGCACCAGTTCCAGATCGTGGTGTATGAGGGTGGCCTTGCTTGGCCCTCGCTGGTTGAAGTGTGGTCGAAGACCCGAATCAATGGTCCCTCTGACTGTGGGCCATAGCCGGCCAGTTGGATGAAGCGTCGGGTGCAGCGCACTGGGCAACAAGGGTCTGTCGTTGCTGCAATGGGAATCCAAATGCCATGACCAGCCTGATCGGTCTTGGAGTGTGGTATGAGAATCCACATGACCGCGTCGTCGAATTGGATGTCTTGACATTTTATGGCTGCCAGGTCAGAATATCGCAGGAATCCTGAATACATGAGGATGGGGATCAACCCTTTCTGAAACATCGCGGGATCGTCGAACTGCAAGTAACTCGCGGCCATGTCCCGGACTTGTTGGATCGATACGGGTTCCTTCATACGAGTAGGGCGAGGGCAGTGTCGTTTTGCACAGTCACGGACTTGGGTGGTGAACGGTCCGGTTGTCGGGCATTTGCTCCCAGTCATGCGATGAGCGAAGCTGACCGCCGAGCACGTCAGCTGCACTACGGACAGGGTGGCTTTGCGTCCGATTGCGTGTACCAGGTAGAGCGCGAGGGTCATGTCGGATGCCGGAAGAAATGGGAGGTTCACTTTTGTGCAGAAGGCTCGAAACTTGGCCCAGTATGGTTCGTATGTCCGGATCGTAGAATCGACGCGAGATTGCGCGAGCATGTTGATCATTTGGTCGTGTAACTTTGGGAGCAAATCTGAACACAGGGCGTTGATGTTTTGAATTAGTCAAATGCCATTCTCAGTGCAATAATTGGGCTGTGCGGTAGTCCCATGCCTGAAAAAGCATTGGAATGGGATCCTGCGTCTAGGCATTGGTTTCCGTGTGTCAGGGGTATGTGCGCGTGGATGTGTGGAGCCCAAGTGCATAGGGAGGGTTGCAAAAGTGGCCACCAGCTTGCGCCTGGCCAGTGCGGAACTATCAGTGTGAGTGATGCATGGGTGCGTTGTGCGTGATGGAGGACGGCCGGGACCAGTTGGGGCGGGGGGAAGGCGAAGTTGTTTTCGGGTGTCCACGCGATCGAGAACGCATCAACTGCGATGGCTTCTGGGTGGGGAATCTTTGTGCAGAAGCGCGGCAGTTGGGTGTTGCGGGAGTTTGCGAAGAGGTCGATTGAGTGGGGCCCCCAACGACGTTCCAAGATGCGGAACCACGGCGTTTTCAGCGCGTAATCGTCGTGGTCGACCATTTTTGAAAGTTCGTCGGCGTGTGTATTGAGCTCGCGCGGAATCCATTCGATGATCAAGCGCGTGCCAAGCTCCATGCATGTTCGGATGATGCTCTTGCATGCCGTTGCGAGGTCGGGGCTGTGAGAGCCGCCTTTTCGAAGGATGAAGAACACGCCCTGGTTGTCCACCCGCACGAGAACGTGTTTTTGCTTGATCTTGGTCGCGTATGTTTGGAGCGCCCAAAGGACGCCTTCAATCTCCCGTCGCGTGCTGGACGTTCCTCGTAGCGGCTCTGACATGGTTGCGCTGGCTTCTTCGAGGCCGCCCGGAAATGTGGTCAGAGTGGCGCCCCAACCATGAGAGCTGACATCCACATGGATTACTGCATCGTAGCTGTTCCTGACGTGAAAAGGTGCACCGTTGAAACGGTCAAACTCCTCGAGCCAAAATTGGAGCTCCTCTGCTGCAGATGGGGGGATAACCACGCTGCTTTTTCAAGACGGTGCTTCGTTGATCACTTGCAACATAGCGTGGCTGAATGCGCGAGCGGTCGCGCCAAGTGCGACACCCATCGATGCAAGCATCCCAGTGATTCTGGCCACGTGGCGGACCGGGATTGGTCGGCATGCCCTGCTTGCGCTCAGGAGGTTCTGGATGGTTGCATGTAGTGAGGCTCGTCGGTCGGGACCGATGGAGAATCGGCCGGTGTCGGTCTCCAGTTCTACGCCCAGGAATCGGAGATGTTGCGATGGTGACAGTTGTGATTTCTTCGCGTTTATCACAAGGCCTGCCTCTTTGAGGTCCAATATCACCTGCTGGCAGATTGCTTGCGCATCGGCTTTCGACTGGCAGAGAAATAAGATGTCATCCACGTAAGGTACGACTCGGATGCCTTGTTCTCGCCAACGCCGAGCTAGTTGCTTGATGAGCTGTATAAAGACGAATGGAGCCGTCGCGAGGCCGAATGGTAGTGAACGAAAGGCGTATGTGCGCCTATCGAATTCGAAGCCAAGGAACTTCCAGCACGATGGGTGGATGTCGATGTGATGGTAACCAGATTTGAGGTCAATGGAGAACATCCAGTCCCCAACGCGCGCCAGGTCGGCGACATGGCTGAGCCCCTCGTACTTGAACTTGGGGACAATCAAGTTGGCGTTGACCTTTCTCAGATCAAGAATGAGCCTGCATTTGTCTTTTTGCTCGACCACGTTAAGTGGACTTATGCACTTGAGTTCCGTTGCGGCCATCGGAACTGCCGCTCCCGTCTCTATGAGTTCTTGGATGGCGGTACGTGTGAACGTGGCATGCGTGTTCGCCCCGACATGATTGCGATCGTGGAAAGGTTGTGGTGGGCCGTGGCTCCATGGCAACCAGTAACCCTTGGCGATGACGGAGAGAACGAGGCTGCTGGGAGGGTGAGCCCACTTGAGTGAGGGGAGGGCAAGGCAGGGGAGGGATGTTGAACCTCCCAGGGCAAGGCTTGTGAGGGGGGGGGAGAGGGACGGGGGTTGAAGTCCCTGAGTTTAAGACAAGTTTGGGTCAGAGGAACCTCCCTCCTCTGGCCTTTGCTTGTCTTAAATTCAGGGGTTACAATCCCCCTCTCTTGCTTCTCACTCGCCTTGCTCTGGGGGGTTCTGCTTCCTTCCTCTGCCTTGTCCTCACCTTACTCAGGTGGTTTCAACCTTCCTTCACTGCTACTGTTGGTGCTCACCTAGAAGTGGTGCTGGTGGTGGGAAGTTTTGGAGATGAGGAAGTGGCTGGGAAAGGGGTGTGCTCTAGGAGCGAGGAGTTGTTGGTGCCAGAGCTGCCAAGGAGTGGTGTAAATTTTATGGCCCTTGTTGTAGTTTTTAACCGCATGCGTACCACAAGTCTGATAACACTTCTGCTAGTGGATGTTTTAGCCTACTGTTTGTGTAGTTTGCAGCTTTAGATTCCCGAGTCGTTTGCCTTTGTAATGGCATTATAATTCTTCTGTGAATAAACCAGGCTTTGAAATGTTAACTTGAGTGCCGTATCTGAACAAATTGGCAATTGTGCATGATGGCAGAAATATTCACGGGATTTGGGAATGCAGATAGCCCAAAGTGTCTCCTTGCACTCTCCTTGTTCACTCATTCCTTTCAAAATCTTTTTAGGAGTTCGTACCCCATTCACAAACAGTCTGTTGACGAGTACGACTCTTCAGCATCGGGCAGCCTTCGCCTCTCACCCGCATTAACCCCTTCCGCTCCACCTGTGTGCTTCACGTGGAAGCATACAGCGAATTTTAGGACACGTTAGGTTTTATCTAGGCTCCGTATATCGCATCCGGTGGACCGCAGACCATGGACCTTGGGTCTTCCGCTCTAAGCAACGGAGCTGGAGGCCCGGACGGCGGCTCGCTTAGGTCCGGGTCTGGGACAGGCTCGGCAGGCTTCGTTCGCGTGCGA